GGTTGTCAAAAAAGAAAAATTTGGAATGGCATTTCCAGGGAATGCAAGCTAAATATGCAGCTGACCACCAAGCTGGGAGGGAGAGAAAAAGTGCGATTGCAGAACTTCTGGATAAATTAGAGGAGCACAAAGACAGATTTAAGAACTGGATTACATTTCCAAACTCCACTACTGCTGCTAGTTTCGTTGAAGGGATGGAAAACAGTCCACAAATCAAAACATACAGATCAAACAGGTAGTGCTCTGTTGCAAGTATGTGAACTTTCTTCCATTTTTTCCCCAAATCCTAAAAATATAAATCACACTCAGGAACGCTGGTGACTGAGGATGTGGGATTTCGGGGGTTAGAGATCACTGCTCTGATGGATGTCAGTTCCTGTTTGGTTCTTCATGACTCAATCGACTCCCAACAGAAACACGTCCACCATAGAAAGATTCCTTTATTGTGTTTGTATGATTTCATCAATGCAATAGAATCTAACCATGCAGTGTAAGGCGGTGAAGCGGCGAACGGTGAATTCCACGCGGTGAGCGTGTTCACTGCTCCTCCCTCACCTCATGCGTCTATGTGACATTTGCTCCAGGATAAACATTTAATCATGAATGCTTATTATATATTTAAGCCCTCATAGTCATTTTCTATAGTGGGATACTACACTTGGAGCCCATGTTGCCATACGAGCATGTATAAGACTTTTACATTTTTGCGGGTCCAGACAGATTTTTTTGTTTTTTGGTCCAATATGGCTCTTTGATCAGTTTGGGTGGGTTAGAGCAGTGCGCTTGTGCTCTGAGGAGGTTGCAAGGCTCGGTTTTACCCCCTAGAGCCTCCATTCTGGGTTCCCTGAGCAAAACCCATAACCCCACACTGCTCCCCGGGCGCCACACGATGCCAGCTCACTGCTCCCTAAGGGGATGGGTAATATGCAGAGATAAATTTCTCCAATGTGAGATCAATAAAGTTAAATCATTAATTATTAGTATGAGTGTTTGACCATCCACTGTTTGTGGCAGAGAGTTCATTCTATTGGATCAGAAAATCACAAATGATGAGAAAAGAACTTTATAACGCAATGACAAATGTATATTGGAGTTTCTTTCATGCCATTATTAAAAACCGTTCTCCAGCCAGTTTGGAATATATCTTATCCAAAAAGTTTGTTTGAACAGAAGCATATGTAAAAGATTTTCTCAACACCTTCCTCTGGGTGGAAAATGATCTAAATCTTAAACTAAAGGAAAAAAGACTAAAAAATATTGTTGGATTTAGCATTTATATTTCTACTGCTGTCACATCTTATTTCCCCTGATTACTGCAGCTATTTGACATTCAGTCACTTATTTAGAGCATACAGTTATCTTAACAGCCT